TCTTTTGAAAGTCATTTAAATCTTTTAAGTGCAGTGTAACTTAAAATGTAAAAAATCGCTATTTGTTATTTTAATATTCCAAAACCCCGGACTAAAATTCTTCCCGTCATCAATCTTATAATTAATAACAAAATGTTCATGAGTATTTATAATTTAGAATTTCAAGAAGAATCTTAAATCTTTAGTTATATACTGTGACTTTCGAATGCTTAAATTTTAATATGATATTCGGATAAATATATAAAAATAAATGAAGCCAAAAATTGTCATATATCGAATTAAACTCTAAAAGTGTTGAATGCAATTTCCATGATTTGCGACAGAATATTAAAATATTTCCTATATCTTCTACATTGTCCTGATAGTGTGGTACTTCTGTACTAGAAGTATGACACTAAACCCGCTTAGGTTTTGTCCAAAAACATGCTTTAAAAAATGCTTAGTGAATCTATCCAATATATTGCCTCACCTGTCAGATCAAGTACTGCATGGCCATTCTATTCCAAATGTAGAATCTTTAAATAGATACACATAATTAAATCAGAGGCATTTAGGTTAATATCTGTATTTACAGGGCACATGACTATAGGACGACATGATGCTAGGCTCGGCCTACCCTGTAGTATCTCCTGCAGCACGTGTCTACCGGCTCTCCAGGAAAGGACGCCAGAACGCCTGTTGTGTCTATGTGTTTTAATCAGAACTAGACTTAAAATTTTTAAGGACCCGCTTCTTTAACACACTCAGCGACATCTCCAGCATTAGCATTGGCTAAACACTCGCCTTTATAAATATTTCTGACTGGTTTTGGCTTGAACTTCTACCCATTATTACGAGAATTTGTGAATTCAAATTGACTTTCTTACTAATTGACCAGACAATTAAGTCTCCCGCCTACCACTCAACTCAACTAACCACACCAGAAAGCTTCAGTACCACCACCACCTCCTGCTAACACACGAAAATATAGCTCACTCTTGGTAATCCGCTAAAGCATGGCGAGATCTAATACTCGGCTTAAAATCACCCAGATCATTCAACTCAAACTACTCTGAAAATTAATCACATTCGACAGGAATTGAACAAACAATAAGCCAACAAGAAGCTATTATATACCTCACCAAAAATGATTCTATATACCCAACCAAACACAATAAAACAGATTAAAAAAATAACTGATGGTAAAAAAAGTACCTTATAACGGTACGGGTTAGAAACACATAACCACTAAAACATGAAAGTATTAGAAAACTTATCTATAATTCCTTTTCTAACGTACATTCGACCTCGCCTCATACGAACCCCTTCAACATTCAATGTATTATTATCTATATAGTATCTATAAAAATGTAAAATAAATCACGTTAAATAATGATTTTATTTTTATTATATTTTATTTTTGATAAAAAACTAAAAACTGCAATATGTATATTAAAACATATTTATTTTATTTATTATACAGTAATGTAAAGTATTTTCAAATGGTTTGAAGAAGAATGAGGAAGAAAACAAGAGTTGCGTCTGCAGTTCATACGAAGATAATACATAAGACGCATTCTTGATGAAATGCAGTACAAACAAACGACTTCTTACCGATATTTTTATATAAACAAATATACAAAATGAAATGAATGGAACTGTATTTGTGCTCTTGTATAAGCATAAGATTGTTTTAGCAAAAAAAAAAAAATATTAAAAAAATGTACTTCTTTAAGCTTCTTCTTCTGATTATATGCTTTATTACCGCACGTACATCAGTACCCAGTTTACTGAGAATCAGAAATTGAGTCATATCCAAAAAAATGTGTAAATGGTTCTGTATTATTACGAGAGTACGTACAACTGTACAATTACGCAAATTAATTTTATTTAAAATTTATACTTAAATTTTTTAATCTTTAAATTATTAAAAAAAAAATTATAATGTAGGGCATATAACACAAAAGTTCATTATCAGTTGCTTTATTCAAAAGCAGAAATTTTAACCTATAGTATAATATAAATAATTACATACATATATATAGATATATATAATAGCTGATATAGTTTTTAGAAAGCGAACTCATAAGAATTTACCCCAAGCTTTGACTTTGCTGCTGATGAATAATTTTACATATATGTATATATATATTTGTATTTTATTACTTAATGGGAAATACTGTGCAAATATTGTTATATATATACTTATATGTGTTTATTTAATTACTATACACAGTTTGTTATCATGCGGAATGTTATAAAATTCTGATCCTTAACATTTTAGTGACATTGTTAACCCGAATAGTCCAATATTTATTACTACGGATAATTATAAAAAATGTTCTTTATATAAACAAAGCAAATACGTTACATTAGATATGCGAAATTACGTACGTTATCAAATTAATTAGACGCTTAACCCAAATTAACATGAAAATCATCTCATAAACCCAGTGTCCACCCACTAATTAGAGTATAGGTGTATAGTATAGATATATAAAACTTCAATAATTATAAAATAAAAATTTTTTTTACTACATCAGCGTACACATATTTTATAGTACTTTTAATTTTTTAATCACTGTATTATTATCTTAGGAGTATTTCTTGCGAAAAACTTTGGTATATATAACATACGATTTCCTGGTATGTAATATAAACTTTTTAAATAAGTAAAAATTCCGATAATAAAATTTTTATTCTTAAAAATGTTTATCTGACTGAGAATAATACTTTATATCCTGCTTGATATTAAAATATGCTCTCGTACATATTAGTTAAAATAAATAGATATATTAGAATAGATAGAAATAAGTTAGAATAGATAGATGTAATAGAAGTTAAATTTATTTGTTAGATAAGAATAACTTCAGGTATTAATTTTATTTAGCTAGGAAATACCCTTTAGTCTGTACTCACATTTATTATTCATAGAGATAAGTGAATTTCAATAAAGAAGGAAGAAGAAATACATTGTGTTTCTAATGGAATGAACTATATCTCATGAACTAGTCATCTGATATTTTAAGCTAAACGTTAATAAGGCGATACATTAAATAACTACTTGTTTGCAGTTTAAATATTGAATCAGACTTTTTGTCTTGTATTTAGCCTATATTTTTATTATTATTCTCTTTACCATAAATGTTTTTTTCTAAAAATTTTGAATAAAATTTTTTATAAGAAAAATTACTCATCGCATATTTCTTCTAATATTAAAAATTACATCTTTTATGGTGTATTAATATTTTCAACACTTTGGTTCATT